ATCCATTATTTTATTTTCCTTCTGATAATAAATTTCAAATTTTTCTTTAATATTATGATTAATTTTGTTTATTTCTAGAGGATAAACTTATAATAAATTTAAAATGTTTTAAAATTCAATTAATCATATAACTAATTTACTTAAAATGATGTTAATGGATTATTTATTTCTAAATTTCTTCAAGAAAATATAAACATTAATTTTCTATAATTTTTTTCTTATTAATTAATAGCAAAATTTTCAAAAATTTGCAATAAATGAGTTTATAAATAAATAAATTTATTACAATTTTTAATAATTTTACCAAAATCAATATACCTTGACTCTGATCCAGCATGGTACACAGCCACCGGTGTCAACCGAATATAACTCACAAAACCCAGCATAATAATAATACATTTTTATTTTAAATTTCTTAAATTTTATAAATGCCTTTAATTAAATGCCACGAGTTTATTCTCAAAGGGAAATTTATGTATTTAGGAAATTTAATTCACTTTTAAATGAGTTTTCAGAATAATTACAACAGTTTATTTTCTATTACAGTGAAGTATTGTTTTGATGAACAATTATTGTACTCATTTCTCTGTTTATTTTATTTTTATTGTTCATTTAAGTTTATTGTTATGTTTCCTTGCTTTCTAAACGTTCTTTTATTGTTAATATAATTATTTAAAATAATATTTTTTACTATAAGTTTTACTTCTGGGCTGTTAGCCTGTTACATATACCAGAGGGAAGGTATGACGATAGGTCGAAAAATGATTACCCCAAATTTTTACATTTTTGGACTCTTAGGGAATCTTGAAACATCGAGAAATTCAAAATATTTGGAGTTTTTTCTATATGTATGGATATTAGTGTGGGGAAGTGCACGATTTTGTTCACTCTCTTTGAAGCTTAATAACTCTTGTACTTTTTGTCGAAAATTTCTGAAATTTTGCAGGGAGATTTTTGTATTAGATACATTGATGGCATTAAATTTTGGTAGTTAAAGGTCGAAGGGGTGAGGAGATATAAGCGGAGTCACTTGTCTATTTATAATACTTTTGTCTTTTGAGGGCGTGTTTATAGCAACACTTCGAGAGACTGCTTTCTAAAAAGACTTTCTATAATAAACTAATCCTATTTAGGAGTTAAAAACTTAAATAAAACCTGGAAAACTTCACGCGGCCAGCCGGTTGGGGAGATTCGAACCCACGACCAGTGTTCAGTGATCTTATCCACTCGGCCAATAGGGAGAAATTTTAATATGAGATTTATTATAAAAATAAAATAAAATAATCGTGCATGTACCGTCAAATTTCTAGAATTAAACGTTTTAAACATTTTGGAAGTTAGTTTTTAAACATTTTTCACGAAAAAAGAAAGAAAATTTCAAGTTTTCAAACTTGTTTAACTTACTAATGTGTAATGCTATTATTTATTCATATAAGTTCATAAGTTAAAGTAAGTTTAATAGCGAAACTTCCTAATTATGACTATAAATAATGTTACGAATATTAAGCGCAATTCATTATTACTAAATAGAAAATATTCGGGTAAAACGTAGACATTTGCAACGTAATCTGGACCAATTTTGAATAAATTAGTGCAGTTTAATTACTTAAACCTTTCAGAGAACATTCAAAAACTTTTAGCAAAATTAACAAACTTCACTAACAATTAAACTTAATTTTAAAACTGAAAATTAGAACAATTTTATCTTAAAAATTAATTCCGTTACGCAGAAATCCAATCGATTGACACTCAGTTTATACAAATTGGAGGCGAAGGTCTCATTTGGAATTCATTCAATCAAGTTGACTTGGTGACCTTTACCTTTTCTTTATTACCTTTTGATTAATTATATTATAGGCATTTTCTTCGAATTAAATTTTATTTAAATATTGGGATATTGCTTATAAATTGCTTTATGTAGAATTTTGTCAGTGTTATTCTTGTATTTGTTTGTGTACAGCAACGTCACACATGGATGATCTGTCTCCTGGGAGGATATTCTATCAGAAATTGCCCTATTTAAGTATTACAAATATGAAAATAACCCGGAAAACTCCATGTGACCGGCTCGTTGGGCAGGCGCGAACCCATAACCAACTACCAGTATTTAGAGGTTTTATCCACCCCACTACTGTTGGGTCGTCGTTCTTGAATTTCTTAATAATTTAATTGATTTTAAACATGTAATTTAACCTTATATATATATATAATTATATATAATGTAATGAAATAAATGGACATCCACTGTAGCTCAACCCCTTCCCCTGTTGTCCGTCATAACCCTCCCTCCCTTCTAGTGTGGACGTCAATTATAAACAGCTACTTACCGGTAGTTCCTAGCGAATTGTTACGTCACATGACGTAATAATAATTAAATTAAACAATGGTTGTTAGATAGTAATAGCGTAACATTGAAATCGACGTTTTTAATCTTCATTATTACGTCATTGTTATTTAACAATGGTTAAATTAAACAATGATAATTACACAATAATTACACCACAGTTTAAAATCAATTTCTAAAATTTATATATTGTTTTACTGTTAATACGTCACAGTACGTAATAANATGAGCTCCACATCCAGTTTATATAGCAGACTCTACCAATTTTCTATCCTTTAATGAGATAACTTTTTAAGATGTTTCCTTATTTAATTCTTAATACACAGCAATACCTCCCACCCCCAATTGCCTCGTATTTCTTATAGATTTTACACGTTTTAATAGTTTTCTACATTGGAATTTATAAAGTAAAATAGTAGTATTTTTTACTAATTAAATTAAGAGAATATTTTAATATTTAACATCTTATATTTTTACTTTTCAAGCTGTTATATATAAGAGAGAGAGATCTGTCGTAAAATGGCCCCTCCTCAAAATTTTGCAAAAAAATTCGGGGATTTTTACCGTATGTATAAATGTTATTGTGTGGGGGGAGAAACGATTTTGTTCATTCTTTTTCAAGCTTAATAACTCCTATGTCTTTTGTCGAAATTTTCTGAAAGTTTGCAGTGAGATTTCTATATTTGGGTCATTGATGCTGTTAAATTTTGGAGGTTAAAGGTCGAGAAAGTGGGGAGATAGAGGGGGAATCATGTGTTATATCTTGAGTGGGATCAAACTTAATGATGATTTTATACGTTATTAGCATTTATAATGTTTTTAAAACTCATCTTTATTATGAAAATTAAGCCTTTTCCATTTTATAATAATTAATTTTAGTAAAAGTTTGAAAAAAAATCTCAACAGATGGCGACACACATAACTTCAGTATTTTTGTCGGGAAAGTTACGCTGTATTTTTTAATTAATTTTCTTTTAAAAATTTACTTAAAATTTATTTAAAATTTAATTTATTTGTTATATACTTAATTTTTAATAAAATAATAAATGAAAGACTAAAAAAAAAACTATATTTATTATTATTTTTCAAAATATTTATTTTATTTTATATATTTTGATAATAAATCATCAACATTTAGATTTAAAAAAAAATTGTGAAGATCTCATACTTATAAATGATGATTCGATTGACGTAATAAATGACTATAATACACTTGATGACGTTATAAACTTATAAATGACGTTATTTACTTGATGACGTTAAAAACGTAGTTATAAAAGTGACCAATAAACGATCTGAATAATTTTTTTTTTTCCTTTAATTTCCGCTAATCCACTGCTGCCATCTGATGATATTTATAGAAATTAAAAATTTGAATTTTATTTAGAGTTTTATGGTAAGATTTGTAAACAGAAAATTAAAAAGTAAATAAATAAATCAATTAATTAAAACTAAACGTAGATAAATAGCAATATTCTTCATTTATGACTTAGAAAAATTGTGTTGAGGGAATCAATTTATAACCAAGTATGGATTCATTTTTCATCAATGTCATCTTCCTGAAGGGTTTAAATGAATACAAGAATATTTTTCTTACTCGATATCGATAGCAGACATATTAGCCTGAAGCATAGAAAAAAGTCTTCTATAGCAACGAGGTATTTGTTATTTTACCTCTCTAGAGTATTCTAATACTGTGAAAACCATTGCCATTTTCGGAGAGATTCTTTCATTTCTTGGCCCAGATAAGAGCCAGACTTGATGATTTTACGCAGAATAACACACTCAACACTCTCTATTGAATACTTTTCTCTTTCTAACTCACTCTTATCCTTTCTATTCCATTCTAGAAGTAGGTTTTTACCATTTATTCGGTTGAAAGGTACTGGAATGAGTGGAGACAATCTAACAGTAAATAGCACTATTTAATCTTAAAATGTAAAGAAAATTTAAATTCAGGAAGATTTTCTATTTAATTAAAATAATAATGCAATTTAAATTATTTATAATTATTTAAATTTTTATATTTTAATCCATTTTTTTCCTATTTATCTGCGTTATTGTATTTATCAACATGTAGATCGCGATCTACAGAGTTACATTTAATAATGTTTTTCGTTAGTTATATTTAAAATCTTTTAAATTATTATTATTATTTTTATTAATTTTGATATAATATTGTTAAATAAATGTTAATTAACTATTTTATTTTCATTTTTAAGAGGCATTACGTATTTCAGTATGATAAAAACGCTCATAAATGATATATTTAATAATTTAATTTAATTTAATGCTGAAAATTAAAATAATGTAATACCATTCTTTATATTAAAAAATTAATTTAGAATTTTAGATTTTAATTTAAATTCTAATCAGGAATCTTAAATGTTATCGCATCAAGGGCGCGTCGCGTCGCGTAAGTTCGCGTCGCAACTCGCGAAATATATATACATAAATTTTGCAGCATTAATCAATTATTGCTTAACACTTTATAATTATAGATACGTTTTAAAATGTTTAATGATTTTCTTAGGAATTAAATTAATTTTGAATTATTAAGGAATTTTACAATGCTGGCGCGACGCGACGTGACGCGCCGATGTAGTTGCGTCGCGCCCGAAGATTTTTATTATATTTTTTAATAATTTAATTATAGGTAAATATAAATGCCGAGAAGAATGGCCATCCATTGAGTCAGAAAGAGCATTTAATATCTACCTGGGTGTCGAACTGTTGCTCATCCCACTGATTATCATGACTACAACATACGTTTTGATTAGCAAAACACTTTGGATAGGGATTCGAGTCGAATACCCCAAAAAATCAAGTAAATATTTGACTTATTTACCATTCTATAATATTATAATGTCACATAAAGATAATTAAACTCTATTTTTCAGATCCTAAATACGCAGAGAAAAATACTAAGAAGCAATACTTCCCTGATACTAAGAACATTTACGATACACAATGCAATGGTGTGCATTCGGAGAATAACGTCACAACAATCAACCAATTATCACGCCCGAAACAAAGTAATAATTGGCTAGTAAGAGGTAGCAGCGTAAAAAATCAAGAAGCGAAAAAGAGGGTTGTAAAAATGCTCTTTGTTGTAGTCGTCGAGTTTTTCATTTGCTGGACACCCCTCTACATCATGCACACATGGTCCCTGTTTGATCCAAAGACGGTCTATTCGAGTATTGGTTTCGTTGGTGTCTCCATTATTCATTTATTATCATTCTGTTCGTGTTGCTGCAACCCAATTACTTATTGCTTTATGCACAAGAAATTCAGGCAAGGATTTTTAAATGCCATGAGATGTACTAAAAGAAAAAGATGGCAGTCGGCTCGAAGTAGTGACTATACAGCTACTCTGAATAGTATTTACAGTACTAGACTGGGTTCTATTCATGCGGGTAAGGATATAATTATAATAATTTGTATTGTAATATAAGAAGGATAATTCAGACAGTACTTATAGAGGGAGTTATAGTTTTACTCTTTATGCCTCGTGAAAACTATTAACAGGGCCTTTCTTCCATATATATCATGGATTCGGTCAGGCTTACAATGGGGATGGACGGGTGGTGAAAGATGGGTACCAAAACCCATGTCCCTCAGAACGATAGGATGATATCTCGTCCCTGTCAAAGGGTATACAAATTTTACTCAAGTATCACTCAAATCAGCATTTACAGTAAAATGTTCCAGTATGTCCGAGTGATGCATGTAATTCAGGAGGATTACTGCCATCACTCGAACAGACATATCAAAAATATAAATGACGTTATTTACTTGATGACGTTAAAAACGTAGTTATAAAAGTGACCAATAAACGATCTGAATAATTTTTTTTTTCCTTTAATTTCCGCTAATCCACTGCTGCCATCTGATGATATTTATGGAAATTAAAAATTTGAATTTTATTTAGAGTTTTATGGTAAGATTTGTAAACAGAAAATTAAAAAGTAAATAAATAAATCAATTAATTAAAACTAAACGTAGATAAATAGCAATATTCTTCATTTATGACTTAGAAAAATTGTGTTGAGGGAATCAATTTATAACCAAGTATGGATTCATTTTTCATCAATGTCATCTTCCTGAAGGGTTTAAATGAATACAAGAATATTTTTCTTACTCGATATCGATAGCAGACATATTAGCCTGAAGCATAGAAAAAAGTCTTCTATAGCAACGAGGTATTTGTTATTTTACCTCTCTAGAGTATTCTAATACTGTGAAAACCATTGCCATTTTCGGAGAGATTCTTTCATTTCTTGGCCCAGATAAGAGCCAGACTTGATGATTTTACGCAGAATAACACACTCAACACTCTCTATTGAATACTTTTCTCTTTCTAACTCACTCTTATCCTTTCTATTCCATTCTAGAAGTAGGTTTTTACCATTTATTCGGTTGAAAGGTACTGGAATGAGTGGAGACAATCTAACAGTAAATAGCACTATTTAATCTTAAAATGTAAAGAAAATTTAAATTCAGGAAGATTTTCTATTTAATTAAAATAATAATGCAATTTAAATTATTTATAATTATTTAAATTTTTATATTTTAATCCATTTTTTTCCTATTTATCTGCGTTATTGTATTTATCAACATGTAGNCGAATTTCGATTGTAAAGTTTATTGGATATTTTCCAACTAAATTTATAGATATAAAATAAAATCTGTGTAAACCGGAATTCCACACTACTGAATATTTTTTTTCGGTTTGGCAGGTTTCCCGTTTTAAACAGGTTTCTTTAAACATTAGAAAATTCGCCTAACTGCAATTTTTTTTATCATATGTTTAATTTAAAATATATGCTCTCCATCTCAAATTAGTAGTGGATTGCCCCTGTACATCATTCTTTTCCTTTAACAATTGAGTTGTGCCGTCATCTGTTTAACACCTTTCAGGGGAATATTTTTGAATTTTTTCCCTGAAAGGTCCATAACGTGACTTTCTGGAAGTTAATCGAGACATTTAGCCCCTAAGCTTTTCATATCCAGTCTCGATTTTTATCCATCTAACTCCACTCTCGAGATTAATGAAGGACAGACAGACAGACAAACAATAGTGAAAATGTACAGGTCTTTTAATTTGAAAATTATACCACAATTATAATGTAAATTTAACATGATAGAGGACAATGGCAGTCAGAATTATTAGAATAAAGTTACTATATTGATATATCAACAATACTTGACATTTAGAATTCCTAATCCTTTGATAATGTTATTGACAATTATTAATACTTATTACTTATTTGTAGTGTTAACTTATAAAATTTTTATCTGTTATAAAAAGAAAAAACTCCCATGTTTATTTTCGTTAATTTTTTTTCTAGTTATTAATCACCTTTACGAGAATTCCACGAATACCAAAATCTTATTAATATTAATGGATGAAGTAACATGACTAACATTTATTCAGTTAAGAAAAATATAATTAATTAATGTACAATTTCTATATTATTACTTTATGTTTTTCATTATTACAGTACTATTAGGCAATACGTAAGAAGAATTTACATTACTTTCATTTTAGTAAAGTGTATTGTTGTTGTGTATGCAAATTCATGCAATTATATTGCTACTTTTCCATGCGTGTGTTCTGTATTTGCTCGGGTTTTTGGAGGGTGAATTCTAGCTATGTTTACCTGGTATTGCTTAAATCTATAAAACAAGCCTTCACATAAATATTTACGACTATCGCTCCTTCGCATTGCAAAGCGCTTTCGACACACTTAAAGTGATACGCTTTTAAAGCTTTAAAGCACAGGAAATGATACTTATTTTATTAATTTATGACACTATAAACATATTTAGAATAGTTTTAAATAATTTTATATATTGTAAATCAGTAAATACTTTACATAGGACCTACTATAACATTTAATATTACTATTAACAATGCAAGATATTGCTTTATAAATTTTCAAAATAATCATTAAAATAAGAAATTTCATCTTTAAAGTGAGAAAATTAGCCTTAAAATTATTAAAAGTATTAAAATGTGTCATTAAATTTATCACGGCAGCTCACATTCATCCACTTTCAAGTCTATGTTTTCAATGGCCACCTGCCACCATATCAGACATAACTTTCATTCTTTGTAATTGAATTATTAGAAAAGCTGTGACTCATTTTAAATACCAATTATTATTAAAAAATCATTTGCATTTTTTTAACTCGGTGTGAAACAAATTGACGTAACTGCAACGAAATATAAAACCAAAATATAAATGACCCATAACACACGTGTTTGTCACAAGCTGGATAGTATCAATCCATGTTTGGTAAACGTAATTCAGCATTCATTCTATTTAAACTATTCATTATTTAATTAAAATCAAAATAATTAATGACACGTCACGTTTATATGTTATATTTTTCATCGATTACTTCTATATTGTATTATAAAACTTGTCTAAAACGGAATCTTAATAGGACTTAAACCTGCCTAAAACGGGAAAACAGCAGAATGCAGCGATTTTCTGTGTTAAAAAAAACCTGTTTAAAACGGAAACCAAAACATTCAATTATCTGCGAGTCCTGCTTACACAGGTTAATAAACAATGATTAATTTTTGGACTCTGGCTGTGTTTTTGACTCCTCAATTACCCCTTCTATGGATCCTCAATTTACTAATTTTTTAAAATTAATTATAAAATAGTAGTAATTATTAAATTTACTTGTTTAAAAATTAATAATTTATAAAATATATATTTGATTTTTCTTATTGTAATGTTGATATATGATTGGCATTGATATTGCTTCTCTTATATTCAGCAAATGTACACTTGAAATATCTTCGATTCCATCTGCCAAAAATCGAACAAATTTATGGAAATTGCACGTCAAATATCAACTTAAATCGATATTTTTGGGGTAGAAAATTGAAAAAAGTAAAGAATTTCCGTCGTTTTTTTTATTCTAAAATAATAAGAAAATGTGCGGTAAAACCTGCTCAAAACGGAAACAACCTGCATAAAGGGGAAAAATTCTTTAAAATAAAGCTATTATACTAAAAAAAACCTGTTTAAAACAGAAACCTGTGATACCAGAAAATATATTCGGTACCGAGAGAGTCCGGTTTAGGCAGGTTTTACTGTATTATGTGCTAAATTCTATAAATAATTAATTGAACAATTTACTATGTTCAATTACATTACATTAAAAAATCATTCCTATTATGAAATAGTCGTTAAAGTTTATTGATTATTTATCAATTTCTCAAGTCAAATTAAACACGAGATCATATTTAACGCAGAAAATAGATTCAAAAAAATTATATAACTTAATCTATTTTCACCTGACGAAGGCGAAGATTTGTAGAGGAAATAGCTGACAGACCGACACACGTCATCAGACGATGTGTCATTTGTTACCATTATTTTTTTCTTTTTTTTACGTTGATGTGTCTAGAAAGTCACTTAAGCTGTAGTTTCCAGTTCAAAAAAGTGTTAAAAATTATAATTTATTAGTTTTCTTTTAATGGCATAGTTATTTATGCAATTAGTTTAGTTTACATTCAAGTTTTACTCGTTAAATGGTTTTATTTTCTTAAGAATATTTTAATAAATTAAGAGTAAAAACATTAAACGTATTAAAAAAGCAAGGAAATACATATAAAACGAAGTAAATACATCAATAGCTGAAAGAACACAGATACAAACACAATACATAAATGCTTAAAGTTTGTATTTACATGTAAGAAATAAATATCAAGAGCTTATACATAAATACATATAAATGTGTACAGAAAAGTTTATATACAAGACTTGTACACAAACATATCAAACATATAATATACAAAGAAGCACACATACAAGTCGACCCCCCTATAATACTGTTGATAATTCCGTTTTATATGAATTCCATGTTGTACGAGTCACTTAGATTTTACAAATACGTGTGCTGGGCTGTGAACGGTTCACGTATTTGTAAAATCTAAGTGACTCGTACAACATGGAATTCATATAAAACGGAATTATCAACAGTGTTATAGGGGG